AATTGCGAAGCAATGAAAACGCTGCAAAGCATCGCTTTGCAATTGCAAAGTGTCACTTCGTAATTGCAAAGCATCACATTGTAATCCTTTGTAGTTACAAAGGACCAATATACTTCGCAGGAATTTAACAGTGAACGGAAGCATGTATAGGGCCAAGGGCCAAGGGCCAAAGGATCAGTTCACTGTAAAAATATCTACAGCATTTGCAACAGTGTTAAACTGCTGTCAATTGGAATAACGGTGGTACTGGGTGATTCAGAGAAGACGCAGGAGCGCGCGGGTTTGCCTACCCGATCCGTCTGAGAGGCGCCATAGCCCCTTGGGTAGGCAAACCCGCCCGCACCTTCTTTTCTGAATCACCCGGCACACTGTAAAATTTTGTGCTCTATCCTTCGGCACAGTCCGTCACTTTTACAATTCATAGTAGACCGTAGGACAGGGAACGAAATTTAACAGTATGGCAAGGTTATTCTGATGAATGTTCTCGACTCTATCCTTCATTCTTTCATAAGGAAAAGGAATTTCCTTCAGAAAACTTTAAAAACCGAGTTTTGATATGCCGTTTGGACGTAACCACATTGCTTTTAGAATACGAAGACGTTGCCGTAAAAATAGTGAACGTTTTTTGAACGGAACACTTTTCGAACAGAACAGGCCGAACGGCCGGTTTAATCCTCCTCCGGCCGATCGCTAATATCCTGCGTGGCGCGCCGAAGAGCGGCCCCTCGCCGGCCTGCCCGGAGTGGTGTGTATGGATCGCGATCCAAAATCAATCCGCCAAAATCAAAAAGTCACAGTAGCTGCTTTTCTTTTGAGGCTGTGTTGGATTCTGTTCTAGATGGCATCTCACGAACTACTGTACCCAACAGAGATGGCTGTTACGAATACTGGAACCTCTATCTGCCACAGACTTGCAAAAAATTTCAGTACAAACAGGAAGATTTTTATTTTCATATTGGTTTCACTTGCATTGTTTTATATTCCTGCGTATCACCAATTAGCTCAACCTCAAAGTCATGATGGTAAGAATTCTATAAATTTCCTTAAAATCTCTCCACTTTAAGGGTTTCTTGTGTACTGGGTGTCTACCTACACACAAAGTGCGTGAAGTTGCCTACGCGCCGGGCGCTGGCAGCCGCCCCCCGTCCACCCCTGCCGCCACGAGAGTCTCTCTGGTGGTGAGTAGCGCGGCGGGAACAGAAGGCTACCAAATGGGGGATGGGGGGCGTATCGGCGAGTGCCCCAGGCGCTACCTGGGTAATTGCTACGCATCCTCGCGAAGCCCACCCCGCGGCCTCGCAGCTCGCCTATACGCCCCCTATACCCCATTTGGTAGTCTTCTGTTCCCGCCGCGCTACTCCCCACCAGAGAGACTCTAGCGGCGGTAGCGGTGGCTGCCAGCGCCCAGCGTGCCGTGTAGGCAACTTCACGCACTGTCCTGTGTGTACGTGTCAATGGACACCCAGTATTCTATGCAGTATTCTTTCGTGTTTTACAGAGGAACTTGATGGCTGGCCAAGAAATGGGACACGAGAGGTTCGTTTATTTATTCAACCAGACAATGTTACCACGATAATATCTCCAAATTTCTGTGAAAGCAAGCAACCATTTCTTTTGGTTGTTGTGTGCTCTGCTGTTCACAACTCAGAAGCTCGCAAAGCAATCCGTGAAACATGGGCATCCAGTAGCAGTTCTTTGAGAGAAAACAACAGAATAAGCAATGAAGTAGTTCCTCATCCTCTCAAAGACGTTTTTGTGGTTTTTCTATTGGGAGACCCAGATAACTCCACTCTTCAGTCAGTTGTGGAGGAGGAAAGCCGAAGATTTGGTGACATTGTGCAAGAAGGGTTTATTGATTCATACAACAATTTGACTGTTAAATCTGTCATGCTGTTGAAGTGGGTAACTCAAAGATGCAGCAGTGCTGTTTACGTTATGAAAACAGATGATGATACCATGGTGAACTTACAATCACTCCAGCTATTTTTACAATCACATCAGGCATCATTAGCAAGGCCCCAAACCAAGAAAGTGCCTCTTTTAGTTGGAAATTTAATATGTGGAGCCAGGCCAATCCGTGATTCAACCAACAAATGGTAAGACTTTTTTTTGTGGCCCCCGTTGTTACAGTAAGTCACTATTTTGACTCACCCCACCCCCCTCCGTGACGTCAGTTTCCCATGTTGACTCACCAAATGGCGCTCCTTATTCGAAAAAAGTGTGACGTAGTTTGTGAACGGCCCTTAGTTCGACCTTAGTTGCCTTTTTAATATAGTTCTTTTTTTTTTAGGTACATGCCCAGGTACATTTTTGCAGGGCGAACATACCCCAATTATTTGTCTGGCTCTGGTTATGTCATGTCACAAGAAGTTGTTCAGGCCTTATATGAAGCATCACAAAAAGTGTCACTCATACCCCTCGAAGATGTTTATGTAACTGGTCAATGTGCAGCGTATTCTGGAATAAGGCCTTCTGGTCATCCTGGATTTCGTTTGGGTAAAAGACCCATGTCGACATGGGGTGTATTTAGATTGTCCGACCTATTTTTCCCCGACCTGGTGATTTTTCCAAAATCCCCAAAAGTGCTGTCCGACCTAGGTTTTGTCCGACCTAATTTTCTCTGACCCATTTTTCTCCGACCTCGTCGATATGCTGAAATTTGGGAAGAATGTTCTTTAAAGACGAACAAGGCTTCAGAGGCCATGAAGGGGTACTTTAAGTGCAGTGAGGGAA